GTAGCGTGTAGTGAGTAGTACACGAGGCAGAATTCTTGTTAACATCACCAAAAAAAACACCACTGTTCTATTTCTCTCTTTCTAGCAGCCTATCGCAGCTATCCAGGTGCAAAGAACTAGTTGCAATACACCAATCACCTGTTTCGGTGGCTAGGTCGTAATAAAAGTACAAGATGTTTCCGCAGCCACACGTGACCGCTCCATTTCCAATATGTCAACTGTCACACGATTTATCTATTTCTTTACAATTAATATATATATATATATTTAATTCTCTCTAATGTTGAAACATTACATTCTGATAATATATATATATATATATGTATGTATGTATGTATTAATTGATAATTATGCAATAGCTCCCTAAGACGATCGACAAAAATTGCCACGTCGAAATGGAGCGTGATCACGATCTTGTAAATAAGAATTAAGTAGTTAAAGTGATATGTCTTTTACGAATGACACGTACACCACTCTGCTGACAAGCTGTGCTGCACGAACCCCGGCTATCAACCCTCGCTGCTGTTTTGCTGCCCCACACAAAAACGCTACACTCGAGAATTGTCGAGCCTAGAGAGAAAAAAAAAAAAAAAAAAAACTCTAAAGTAATATGAAAATCGAGATAAAAAAAAAAATAGATAAATAAACGTGAAGGAAAGATGTTAAAGATACGCATCCATAATAACGATAGTCCGAGAGACGCTCGGATCCGATGATGGGGTTGTTGGGAGAAAGGGAGCGTGTTTCTTGGATCTCTCCTGTCTTCGTTCACGTTTGCACGCGTTCTCGCGACGATCTTCGCGAATTTGAAGAAAATTTCGAGCTTTGTTGAAAAAGAGAAAAAAAATAAAAAAGAAAAAAAATAACACCTCGCGATCTTTCCTCGACCATGATCGTTCGTGATTCTGTTTTTTTTTTTTCTTTGTGAAAAATTTTGAAAAAAAAAAAGTTTGCCTCGTTTGATCCCTTTGACCGAATTTTAACAAGATTCTCGATCTCGAGGAACGATCGATGAGGACTTGCAAAAAAAAAAAAAAAAAAAAAAATTAAAAAAAACGAGGGGAGAAAGAGTATCGTTTAAGAGAAAGCAGACAAGCTGAAGAGGCAGCCGATGGAAAAATTCATACGTTTCCTCGAACGACGGGGGAGAATAGATATTCTACGCTTCGACCGTTCGCGAATCTGTCTCTTCGGGGGACCGAAAATTGTCCATTGTCCGGGGGATAGATAGATAGAAAAAAAAAAAAAAAAGAAAAGAAAAAAGAAAGGAAAGAAAAAAGAAAAGAGCGAGGAAAATCAGAAAAACTGGCGAAAACAAAAGAGAGGAAAAAAAAGAGGAAAGGAAAATAGAAGGAAAAAGACGAAAGAAAGAATAATAATAATAATCATAATAAAAAAAAAAAGAAAAAAAAAGAGAGAAACGAGAGAATGCGAGAAAGACATTTTCAGCAACGTCGCGCGTCAGAAGATCTGCAGCCACACCCGGACACAATGGAAGAAAAAGTCTCACATGGATGATTGCGGCAGACCAGCTTGTTGGCAGGGAAGTCTCATTCTCTAAAAGTGGTTTTCAATTTCCCAAGGGTGCATACCGCGTACCGATGGAGTAACCCTTCGTCTGAAAATTTGCCTCGAGCTCGTGCCGCCATTTTGGCCGCGCGATTTCACCAAGATCGCGAAATTTTCGTCTTAAATAATTCTCTATCTCTGTACGATCTTTATGATCTTGTAAAAATATTTCATGTCATTTGTTGTCTTATTCTTTTTTTTTTTTTTTTTTTTTTTTAGATATTGGGTTGGTTAAAAAGTAGATTTTCGTCATTTACAAAGAAAATAAATTCCATTTTTTTTTTTTTTTATATTAAGATTCCGTCTATTAAATGCAATTAGACAATGAATTTCTCTAAAAAAAAAAAAACAAAAGTCAAAGAGTTTTTTTGATCAACCCAATATAATAATATACCATTCAACTAAAATCAATCGTAAACGTTTGATCGGAGAAATCATTGCCTCGTGAACAGTTTAATTCGTATATATATATATATATAAAATAAAATAAAATAAAATAAAATAAAAAGGCAATCGCGGTCGGCGAGGCGAATTTGTCAAATAAACCGATTTAATCACTCCGCCCTTTGATCTATCCATTCGTTTCGAGCATCCCATTCATTCATTCATTCTCCTCTCCCCCTCCCCCCTCCCTCTTCTCGCATCGTTTCCACGATATTCCATTAGATCGATTAACCTCGACCTCTCGTCGTATCATCGACCACGTTAATCGAGGATCGCGTCCCCCTCTCTCCTCCTCCCCATCCATCCATCGTCTAATCGAATTCAATGCGACTGTTCGAAAATGCACTCTTCGGAATTGCTGAACGCCGTGATGTCTGAATGTTTGTCAAACAATGCGACACGAAATATGTCCTCTTTCTATATATATATATATATATGTGTGTGTGTATGTGTGTGCGCGCGCGCGCGAGATATATATACCACCCACAGAAAAGAGAGTATCCATCGCCTCGATGTGATGCAAAACAAAAAAAAAAAAAGCACGGTGGACGATAGCAAGAATCACTTGTCCAACAGTATTTCGATTTCCGCGTACAAAATGTTACACACGTTCAGCACGCACATGTAACACGCACCTTACACACGTACATTCGCCTACATACACGCTCGATACAATCTCGATGAAACCGACGTCGTCCGTGTCCAGGAAGTGGCGAGGAACTTGGAGACCGTGAGGAAGACCGCCGAGTAATGGCAACCAGCATCGTTGCGGAGCGTGAATGAGACAAATTATAAGAATGTGTATTTTTCGTGAATTTTTTTCCAGGAACCAGAATGATCGTTTGTGAACCAGTGAGTCGTTTCGAGAAAGGATTCGTCCCTCTCGTTTCATCCGTCTTCTCTCTTGTTCAAGTCGCGCGTATGATATCGAGAATGGTAATAATATCTCTCGTTTCTTCTATCGATTCTTCGATTCTCTCGAAGAAAATCAACAAAGGGGAAGGGGGGGCGGATGAAGGAGACACACGAGAGTGCAGGATGAAACGAAAGGATATCACGGCGAAACTAATAAATTTCGACAGATAGCTCGACCAATTATTGCAGGTGTTGCTGATGTCAGAAACGCAATATCCAGATGGGCGATCGAATGGGGCGATCCTCCGGTTATATTCTTTTTCGCTCCTTGTATATTTCAATTCTATATATATATATATATGTATGTATATATGTATATGTATATATATATATATATATATGTATAAATATATATATATATATTATTTCTTACCACTTTACCATCTTGATCCATCTTTTTTTTTTTTATTTTCACTTTATTTTCAATTACCAGGACACGCCTGCTTCTCCCATAGACGTTTGACCGAGCCACGTACAGGAGCGTCCATTGTCATATTAAGTTCATAGATACTTGCCGAGCAGAGTGGAGACTCTCATCTTCTATCTATTCACCTTATATATCTATATATGTATATATACACGTTATTATCACGTATTTTTATTCAATTTAAAAAAAAAAAACAATTGTTCACAGATATTTCTTTTTAGGGGATCACGTGCTCTCGCCATATCGAGCTCTCGAGCTCTTCATTTCGCTCTTTTCTCTTTCAAACTTGTATTTTTTCAGCTGGACCCATGAACCACGGTCCGGGTAAACGCCGAAACCACGATCTCTGTTATTTCCTTCCACCAGCACCAGTTTGTATATTTCGCAGTGTTTCTTCCATCTCATCCGACCGCGTTTATTGGATCAAAAAAAAAAAAAAAGAAAGAAAGAAAAAGAAAGAAAAGAAAAGAAAAGAAAAAAGAGAAAAAAGAGAAAAAAGAAAAAAAACGTGTGATTGTTGGCGCGCAATCGCGACTCGACACCCTTCCTCCCGGGTTTCCACGTCGATGTTTCCATTATAAAAAACGAGAGATCGCGGGAAAGAATGGGCGATTAGATCGCGGTAGAACGGATGCAAGGCAATTAAGTACACGCGTCAGGCTTGAGCGCCGCGTGAGAGCAACCCGAGAAGCGTGTCGCGTCTGCGCATTAATTTACACGTGTCGTTTTACGAGCTGTTCGACCGTCAAACATAAACACGTGTATTCATATGTATATCTTTATCAATGGTGATAGATGTACATATTACGTATACGTATAATGTATCATGTTTGTTTTCTTTTGGTATACATATATATATATATAAAAATATATATATATATATATATATATATAGCTTTGAATTAAGTTGTACATAAATTATGCATATAGATAATGAGGATAATTAAATTACGTTGTTTTACGATTAACTTGGACATTTTATTATATATATTATATTATTATTATTATATATACGCGATACTGTCGTTTCTTGCCTTTAGCCTCAACTGGTCTGTTTTTCTTTTTTTGATTTTTATCTTGCCCTCTTCCGCCTGACGATGCTTCTTCATGCTTGCTGACAAAAATATACCTTCGTGCGCTTCGCTACCTGCCAATTAACGCCTGCGAAAAATTATGCCGACCGAAAAATCTCCCCCTTCTGTGCGCCCTGGATACCTGAAAATTCCCCGGGGGAAAAAAAAAAAATATTAAACCACCTACTATGACTATATAACGCCGAATGCAACGAATGGAAAACAAAAAAAAATAATAATAATAATAATACAATTGGAAAAATACACTGCACAACTGTATAATTGTTACAATTCACATCAACGAAACAACACTTGGAAACTTGGAAACGTCTATTCTATGACGAAATAATCTCTGGTCGGCGTGCCTATGGTAATCTTTCTCTATGGGGCACGAAACTGAAAAAAAAAAAAAAAAAAATATTCCTAAACAAATTCAAAAAAAAAAAAAAATATATATTGGGGAAAAAAAAATGATGGATTGACGGGGAAATTTGGACGATCGAAAATACACACACGCAAAACACGGAAATAAAAAACAAAAAAAAAAAAAAAAAACTAAAAATGAAAAAGCAGACGGCGACTATGCCGACGAACGTAGCGGGAATGGGCGCGTTGGCTGGCGGAGTGTCAGGAGTGCCGGCAACTGCGGTTCCCGGAGGACTTCAGAGCGCCAGTATGGCAAGCATCGAACTCGGCAAGAAGCGGATGCGCGACTCCAATGATGATCTGCTAATGGTACCACGGCTTATGCATGAAGTACACTTTCCTTTTTTTTCGTAGCTGAATTCCGCGAAATTGGCCCGAACTATTTTCGTTCCATTTTTCTTTCTTTTTTTTTTTTTTTTTTTTTTATTCTTTCTCTTCTTTTTCTTTGTGTATTAATTATATATTATTAGGGTGCGATTGCATTTAAGAGTGAAGGTTAATTTTTTATTATTATTATTATTATTATTATTTCTCACGAGTGGACATTGAATCGAGAAAGAGTGTCACCGTCGCGATGAAATGTGACATTCGTGAGAAATATTCTCAGGAACAATTCTCGTGAACGACTTTTCAGAGTTCTATTCTCAAATGTACTGGCACCCATATTGCTTTCTGATGGACAATTGGTTGGAAACCATTGCGTCACGAAGGGTGAGTAACTGTGAATTAGCACCTTAAATAGCTTTATTTTTGAGTTTTTTACGAAATATTCGTGACGGAATTATTCGATAGATTACAGGAATGGTTTTTTTTTTTTCTTAGTTTGATAAATTGATGTTTTACATAGAATATACATAGAATATTTATGAATTGTTTTATTTCGTTTCGAATTACGCTGATTAATTGCCGTTTGTTATAGAGCGTTTCTTGCTTTTTGTAGACAGATTTTTTATTTTTCTAGATTTTTTTTTCAATGCTTTTAATATAACATTTAATATATGTATCGATTTTTAATACAAATTTCGGAGAGATCGAAATATTTAATTTAATTTAGATGTAGTGAGATTTAAATATTCTTAAATGTTATAATATCTCAAAGAAAGAAGAATACTTTTCTTCGTATAGTTTTGAGAAAATTGAAATTTAAAGAAAATTAATAAAAAAGATTTTAATTCTCAATCGATAAATATTGCAAAACAATGCATATTTAATATAATAACAAAATTTTATCAATAACTGATAACAATAAACACAATGATATAAAATATTTAAAGAAATTTCTAGTTTTACACAATTGAAAAGATAAATTATTGGTGCTAATTTATAGTAATTCACTTTTTACAATGCTTTAGAACAACTTTAGAAATTGAACGAAATAATACATAATGGTATACATATAATCATAACTAATATTAATGTTATTTTTGTGATCCAGTAAAATCGAGCATCGAGAAACACGTATGTACTCTAAATCTAAATCATGATTTCTGCTTCCAAAAGGCTTCCAGACACCCGCAAGCGATAGTAGCGCCGCGCGTGTTCCAAAAAAAACGGAAGAACGAAATCAAGAAGTTCGGGCCATTTTCCGGAAGTTCCTTGTAGTCTCGTATCTTTAAGTTTATGGACATATAAATTCATTGCGATTGTGAATACACTGCCGAGCGCGCTTAGAGCTCTAGCTCTTTCTCTCTCTCTCTCTCTCTCTCTCTCTCTCTCTCTCTCTCTCTCTCTCTCTCTCGTATTATATATTTTTCTTCTTTTTTCTCTCTCTCTTCTCTCTTTCTCTCTTTTTCTCTCTTTCTCTCTCTCTATTTTTCCTTTTTATTACTTCTAATAAGAATCTCGTTGCGCTTTGTTCAACCTCGAGAAAAGCACATGTTCCTCGAAAAATTTTCGCGCGTGTTCCAGTTTATATATAACTCCGATATATAAAGCTCCGCATTTTTAATTTTTTTCGCGCTCTTTTATTATTTCTCTCTCTTCTTTATTACTTTTTTCCCGTCTTTTCTTCTTTTATTTTTTCATATCTTTTTGTTTTGTCAGTAATTATTTACTATAATACAATTAATTTTTATTTACGTTGCATATGATACACGAACATTAAATTTTTTTTCTCTCTCGAAATTTTCTTTGCTCGCGAAACAAAATTTTTAATAAATTTATCTATATCTCTGTTTCTCTCTCTTTCTCTCTCTCTCTCTCTCTCTCTCTCTCTCTCTCTCTCTTTCTCTCTCTCTCTTTCTCTGTTTTTTCTATTCTATACTCTTTAATTTTTCGTTGATTTCTTCAAACAATTTAATCAAACTTACTTTTCATCGTTTAATTTCGCTTCGTATTCTGTCGTTCGTTGCAATGTTGTCCGTATCAGAGCTTACGCCTCGTAATGTATTTATAGATCGCTTCGTTGTTTTTTTATCGATCATCAACCACAAATCGCCAAACAAAAACCAAAAGGAAGAAAAAAAAAAAATATTCGTCGATGTTTCGAATAAAATTTCGTCGAAAAAAAAAATCGAATTTGAAAAAATTACAAAAAAGGAAAAAGGGAATCACTATTTATCGATTGCAAAAAAAAAAAAAAAAAAAAGGTTCGTGGTTGTTGACGATGTACACGATCAATTTTCACGTAAACTTACCCCCTCTGGCGAAACCCTCTCCATATAAATAAGAGAGGATCAGCGATCGAATGACGATCGTTCGTAATCGATCGCGATCCGATCGATGGCTATTGCTTCACAGTTTCGAATCACGCGCGCATTTTTCGAAATTTTTCAAATTCAATTCGAATCGTCGAATACACGACGAAACACCATCGACGATCACGTTTCGTTCTATTCTCTCTTATATATGAAAAATAATCTTGCCTCAATGATCAAAAATCAATCAATGTAATTGGTTATAATGAAACGATTATATTATTCGAGATAATTTTTCTCATAATTATTTTCAATAATTTTAGCGGATTTTTAGCAAATTATCGATGATATGCGCCCGTGTTTCGTAAGCAAAACATCATTGACGAAATTCTATAACTCTAATCTCCGTATCGCCAGGACCTGCATTAGATAAGAGAAACGAAAGTACGATAAAGAAACGTGGAAGAGATCGATTTCCTTCGATTTCTGTGTCGAGAAAATAAAAGAGACCGTTGTGGCACTGTGATTGTGCATAGAAAAACTTAATAATGATATGATGTAAATATATATATATATACTTCAGGAAAGATGAGAAGATGAAGGATATATAAAAGTGAATGAAATACCATTTTATGGTACTGCGTTTACGGAGCGTTAGATCTGTGTAAACTCTGAGCTTGCGCCGATGATGCATGTTGTGCTTAAGCGACTACCGAGGTGATGGTGTTCAAGCGTCATCCCCTCGACGCTCTAGACGATGACACGAAAGTTTTGTCTTTTTTCAAATAGAGAACCAAAAAAAAAAAAAAACTTATATGCGCGATATTTTTCGTGAAATATTTTTCCTTTCTTTTTTTNTTTTTTTTTTTTTTTTTTTTTTTTTTAATTTAATTTTACTTTCTTCGTCACACAATATCTCTTCTCTTGGTTTCCAGAGTCGTACGTCGAAATTGCTAAGAGCACAGTAGATTTGCTTTAATATACACAGGCTAACTTTTCTACGCTATTTCAGTCTTAGGATGCGAATATATCTGAGAGTAAAATTCTTGAGAATTACTTTCGAAGGTTATTTTCTTTTCTTTTCTTTTTTTTTCTTGTTATTTAATAATGGATACTTAACGCAGTGTCCAAAATAAATTGTGAAAAATACTCTCTCAAGAGCAGTGCTGTTTAGGAGCTGTTCCTGTAGAGAACGTTCGGGCAACATCGGGTAAAATCGGATAACGTTCGGCTAATATCGTATAAGATCGGGCAATGCAATAGACAACGCAATAAGCAGAGCCAGTAGAGCCTAAAATCTCCAACTTTGCTCTCAATTCTATTGCTATCCATTGTTCTTAGTATTGTTTGTGGGTATCATTGCCAGAAGAATTTCATCACAAATTTTGTCACAATGAGCGAACAGCACTGCTCAAGAGCAACTCCGTAGAATTTTTTACTCTTAAATGTATTTACTATTCTTATCTTTCTTTCGTCGTTTCTTCGATTTTCCTTTTTTATTTTATTTTTATTTTTTTTCTTTTTAACGTAAAATATTCTATTATCATCCATTCGATTCTTCGTAATATTTTTCGAATAATGTGTTTTTTTTCGCGTTTTTTCTTTACGATGAAACCGAAAGACGGACAGACATTGTTTCACATGTATATCTTGCACTTGAGCTTGCGATATGTTCCTCAATCCCTCTTTGTAAATGGCAAAAACGAATTTTCTCCGCCACTATTTACACGCCGAGACTTGTATATCTGGTTGATTACACCATGAGTCCCGCTGTTTCGTGAGCACATTCTTTTTTTCTCTTTCTCTCTCTCTCTCTTTTTATTTCTTTTCTTTATCCCTCTGTCACATTCGATATATATATATTATACACGCAATATATATATTTATACTCGTATAACAAAACAAGTCTTATTCGTACCCGCTCTTTCTTTCTCTCTCTCTCTATATATATATATATCTCGACAACAAATCTTTTCTTTATACCAGCTTCTCAGCTTTTGCATCTGAAACTTTGTGCAGCTTCTATCTATCTTTTCTTCTATTCTTCTTCTTCTTCTTCTTCTTCTTCTTCTAACTTTAATCTTTCAATACACTTGAGTAAAGAGCAAAAAAAATAAATAAATAAATAAAAGAAAAATAAAAAAGAAGGAAAGAAACTTTCTCTCCTTTCGTTTCGCTTCTTCTATCCGATGATTAATCACCGTGCAATCCATGTTTGGTATTTCAAGCTCGGAACTTTATACATATATTTTTTTTTTTTTTATTATCGCGATTCTCCTTTCTCTCTCTCTCTTTTTATTTACTTTTTTCCAACCAGTCAGGCAGCTTTCATTCGAACGAAAATCCAAACGCGATTCCTCTAAGAAAATCTTACTTCTCAGCATTCCGTTGTTCAGAGATCTTCCTCTTAAGATTATATACAAGTATACAGATATACACGACAGATTAGCTCGATCGAGATTCACGATTTCGTCTAGAGATAAATAGAATAACAACGAAACGACGGATGAACGTATATTTCTTTTTTCTTCTTTTTCTTCTTCTTCTTCTTCTTCTTCTTTCCTTTTCACCCACTATTTTTTCTCTATTCCACTCTTCTTCTCTGTCGCTGTCTGTCTCTAATTTCTCTCTGTTTGCTGGAAAGCTTACCCTCAAAAATAGGAGAACCGAGAAGTAAAAGAGAAAGAAAAGCTTATCGTCCATGTTTGCGTTCGGCGTTATGCGTTTCTAATGGACCATTTTTTTTCTTTTTTTGACTCTGAATCGAAGCAGGATCAACGATCTCTCTCGATTTAATTGGCCCCGATGGCAACATGGCGTTCCGTTGTGTTACGCAAGAAATTTGACTGGTCTTTCTGACACGCTTCTCCTCGATTTTTCGTAGAAACAGGGATTGCGAAGGAAACGAATGTTTGAAATGTTTGAAAGGAAAAAAAAAAAAAAAAAAAAAAAGCGAAACAGCCGAAACGAGAAATATTAAATTAACAAAAAAAAAAAAGTATATATATATATATATATATGTATATATATATATATATATATAAAGAAAAAAAGAAAGAAAAAGAACAGAAAAACGAGAATTTTACAGTTATCCAACAACGATCGTCGTCATTTGGGAACGTCGCCGCAAGCTGCGTCATCGGCACAACTTTTACACACTACTACCACTACTATTTACTATTTAACTATTAACTAACTACTATTACTATTAGTTTACTATTACTACTACTATTTACTACTACTACTACTACTACTACTACTACTACTACTACTACTATTACTACTACTATCACCTACTTTTGTCGTGTTGTGTATTACCCATCCGACAAATTGAATATATCTAATTCTGTTTCTCTGAGAACCAGATACCACATCTCCTCTCTCTTTCTCTCTTTCTCTCTCTCTCTCTCTCTCTCTGTCTCTCTCTCTTTCTATCTGTCATCTTCCTACGAGAATCCAATTATACAGACGCAACTCGTACAACCTCATCCTCGAAATTAGTTGAAACCGATCCTGTCTTTGTTGCAGATGGACATGAAGTCTGTCGGATCGTTCTACTACGAGAACTTTGTAAGTGCAGAAATCTAACCACTGAATCATAAAAAAAAAAAAAGCTGATTACATTAATACATATAATAATTAAAATCAATTTTCATTATTTTACTCCTTCGCTTTTCGCGAATCGGGTTAACTTTTTTAGTTAAATCTAAAAAAAATGATTATACAGCATTGTATGTAACGTTGATTGCTTAACGTGAAAATTTAGTCGCGATTGATTAAACATGCTGGGCTTGAATAAAAGTAAAAAAAAGTTCATGGAAACTCGAAGCCGTTCGTTTCATATCAAAAACAACGTTGAATTTTTAATTTTTAATCGAAAGAAAATTCCGCAAAATACGGAAACGATCCTTTTTGTTCTTTCTCGTATGGAAAAAAAAAAGAACTAATTAATTCGTTGCCAAATCGTAAACAATTTCGAGAGTCAATCGTTTCGATGAGAAAAGAAAATTAAAAAAAAAAAAAAAAAAAAGAAAAAGGAAAAGTAGAAAATTGAAAAGAGAAAACGAACCGAAAGAAAGACAGAGTCGAGGCTTCTTCAACGAGGAGAAGCCTCCACTCGTTCAAGGTTCTCGGCCCCCGAACCATAACGACGAAACCATTGTTCCAACTAATCGCGAACTCTTTCCCACGCTTCTGTTTTACAGGCCTTCCCAGGAATGGTTCCGTATAAACGACCGGCGGGCGACAAGTCCGGCATGCCGGTCTATCAGCCTACCGGCGCGACGACCTATCAACAGTTAATGCAGCTGCAGCAGCCCTTCGTGCCTGTGTCATGTGAGTACACTGGAACACCACCCCTACCCACCCAAACCTCTAACCAATCGGTCGTGCAACCCCCGAACGTGCAAAGCAACCACCACGCGGTGGTAGTTCAGTCCTCCTCCTCCTCCCAAGGAACCGGCGGCGCCACGGTCAATAACTGCGCCGACGCCAACAATGGCGTGATGATGGATCCCTGCAACAACCCACCGCCACCACCTCCAACCGCCGACAATAACAGTAACAATAGTAACGTGAATAACAAGCAGCCGAATCCAACGCAGAATCACGATGCCGAAAACGCGCACAACTCCCCCGAATTGAATCACGCGAGTCCCGCGACCATTTCGCAGCAACAGCAACAGCAGCAACAACAACAACAGCAGCAGCAACAGCAGCAACAACACCAACAACACCAACAGCATCAACAGCAACAGGCTCAACAGGCTCAGCAGCAGCAACAGCAGCAACAACACCAATTGCAACAACAGCATCAACAGCAACAATTGCAGAACCAATTGGCGCTGTCGGCCGCCAGCGTGCAACCCGCGATGAGCCCGTTGACCTCGGTCGCCGGCCTAACCTCGATGCCAGGCGTGGTCATGGCCTCGATGGCCTCGATGACGAACGTGCCCTCGGTCACGAACATGGTGTCCATGGCCAACTACAACGCCACGAACATGGCAAGTTTAAACATGCTGAACAGCCTGGGCATGGCGTCCGGATTGCCCGCGTCCCTTGACCCCGCCGCCCTCGCCAAAGAGGTCGCCCAGAAGAACTACGCGAAGGCGATCAAGCTTTCCCAGGCGTCCCAATCGTACGGTATCAATCAGCTCACAGCGTTGAACTACACGGGTGTCGCGTTGAACAAGCAAGCGTTGGTTAATCCGGCGGCCGCCGCCGCGGCTGCCGGCAATCCGGCTGTTGCCGGCCTCCCGGCGACAGCGGCGACACCTAGGCCAGTGATCCCGAACCTGACCGGGATTCCCGGCGCCCTCACCTCCCCCCTCTCCGCTGGAATCTTGGCCTACTCGAGGCCACCGACCGGAGCGCCGATCAATCCTTACTCTCTGATGAGGCAACAGATCCTTCCCAATCCTTACGTTCAGGCCTCGATACCTGCCGTTCCTGGGGCGGCCGCTGCCGCTGCCGCCGCCGTCCAGGGCAATCCCTACGTGCAGAATCCTTACACGGTTCTACCGGGTGTCGCCAGCATGCCTGGGGTCGCGGCCAGCGTGGCGGCAGCCGGTGTACCGGGTGTACCCCAGATACCACAGATACCGAACCCGGCCACGATCGCGGCCCAACCGCAGGTAGCGATTCCGGTCAGTTCTGGGGTGATCATGCAACCGTACAAGAAGATGAAGACCTCGTAAACGGGGGGGAGGGGGGAGGGGGTCGTTGTCGCTCTCCGCTCGAAAAGGGGGATATTTTTCTCGCCTCCCCTTTTCACGTCTCTGGTTCCTTCTTCTGGGCCCTCCGCGTTTTCTCTCTCTCTCTCTCTCTCTCTCTCTTTTTCTCTCTTTCGCAGGGGAACGTCCCGTTAGACACACATACACATATACACGATGATTGTTCGATCGTCCTCTTCGCGATCGTGATTCCTTTCCCCTAGATAGATAGATAGATAGACGGATAGATAGATGGATCATGGTCGAAGAGGGGGGATATGTATTTTTTTTCTTCTTTTTTTCTTTTTTGATGCAAATCGTCGTAACGATTTTTATTTCCGTCTTCTCGTACGATTTAGTATAGTTTCGACGATAGTAATAGGATACAATATGGAATTGGGATATCGAGAGTAATTAGATCGAAATCGTTGCCGACCTATTTTTTGATTTAGCGTGATAACGTGATCGTGAGATTAGATAGATAGATAGATAGATAGATAGATAGATAGATAGATATATATACGTATATACATTATGTACTATGATTATATTGATTATAAGGAATTGAATATGTAAAGGGGAACGTTCCTGCGAGCGAAAGAGAGAAATATATAGCGAGCGAAACGAGAAATGAAACGTCGAAATAAGGGATGAGAAACGCAAACAGACAAGTAAACAAACAAACAAGTAAACAAGAGTTCCGAAAATAGATTCATTTTCTAGTCAGACATTGTCGGTGAACAGTGCCTTATTGACCCGATTCCACTTGGAGCGTTTCGAACGTAAATGCTTACACGTGACGAATATAGAGAATAACGAAGACGCGAAGACTTTTTTGCGAAACGATTAACTTCATTTAACTTCGCCCCTTTTGTTGCGATCGAGAGAAAAGAAAGGAAAAAAGAAAAAAAGGCTAAAAAGGAATAAGAAAATAAAAAGAAATGGAAGAGAACCATAATAATAAAACCGAGAAACGTCCACGCACGGCAAATTTTTTATCACGTTTTTTTCGCGTTTTGTTTGCCCCCTTTCTTCTGTGTCTTCGAAGACTTGCCAATTTCATCACAAATGAACGATGAGCCATCCGGGATAAATATTTTTAATCACGACCACCGTAATCGCGGTTCATTTCTTTTTTTTCCTTTTTAATTTAATTTTAATTATTATTTCGTTTTTTTGTTTTTCGTTCTTTATTTTATTTTTTATTTTTTTAACGCGCTCCAACAGCGTGTTGTAAACCTTTTAATTATTTTTCTAGCGTGTAACCATGTTTCCTTCTTAGTTGCGTAGATTCTAGAAAAGAAAGAAAAAGAAAAAAGAAAAAAAGAAGCGGAAGAGATATGTTATTAATTTCCACCCCCGCGATAACTTCGTAGAACCTTCGAGATGTAGAGTCGATAAGATGAAAATATATAAAGTATAATAAATACGTTGTTGAAATTTCTTGTCGCCACGCGACCTTTTTTTTTTTTTTTTTTTGTTCCGTTTTGTTTCGAATATTATTTTCGTTTGTTGCGACACACCGGAAATATCGTTCCTCCGATTTATTATCGTACTTTATATGATGATATCGATGTTTGTTCTATATATATATATATATATTACGCATATAATATATTCTAAATATATATATTTTATTTTCTAACGCCAACGATGGACGGATACGTTGCTCGGCCTAAAAGTCATGTCACATGCGGTACAATACTGCGCACGTATGAACTTGCCTCTTTCCCCCCCTCCCCCCTCTCTTTTTAAGTAGAATATTATTAGTCCCTTTGTTTTTTTTGTTCAGCCGTTGAAGTCCATCTTTAGTTGGATATATTCTATCGTTAATCGTCAATTTTTTAGAAATTATTATTATTATTATTATTATTATTATTATTATTATTATTAGTCCAAATATCGATCGAATTTTATTCCCTATTATTAATATTGTTCGTTTATCGTTTCTTAGATTTTAATTATTTTTTAATCGTTTATCATATTATTATTATTATATATATATATATGTATAGGTTACTCTTAAAGAGACGGAGAGGGGGAGCAGCTGGACGGGAAAATAGAGAAAGACAGTGAATTACAGACATTTTTTTTACCTAGTCTTCTATATTCGAGAAATATAATTCTTATATATTCGTTTCGCTTAATCCGATTTAGAGATACCTTTTAGGGTTTCAAGTGTTCGAAAATCCACGAACAGAAAATCAAAACAAAATCGTTAATGTTCTTTAAGAATTTGTTTATTTAATAAATTATTAATTTAACGTCCTAAGTATAAGTGAAAATATTTATAAATTGTTTTTATCAATTTCAATATAAAAAAAAAAAAAAAAAAAATTTAAATTTTGGGAGATATTCTGGAGATTACACGAATTATCCAGCTTGAGGCCTTAAGGGTTGAATAAATCGATCTTCAACTGAGAGACTGGTGTCATGTCGGAATTGTCACTGGAATTTCTACCGATCCGACCTCCCACCCTTTCCTAAAATTAGCTTTTAGGGATATCAATTGAGAACTATTATAGTAACGTATGTTTCCTAGAAACACCTTGCACACATCGATGAGATTGAGAAATGGAAACGCCGTCGTGTTCGGGCGATCCTTTTAATTCGTATGATTAAAAACGTAACGTACGTGCATAGATTTTAGCGGAGAGATTTCGTCCTATCTCATTTTATCTAGTGCTATGATTAATACATACATATATATATATACACATATATAATATATTTATCTATTAGCATGTAATAGCGTGTGAAACACCGAAGGCAGCCTCATTTTGCCCTGACACGGATTCAATTCGGGGGAGTTCAAAAAAAAATAAAAATAAAAAAAAAAAAGGAAATTGCACACAATGAACCTCGTCAATTGCAACTCACGAGCTTATGCATTTAGCCGAGAAGAGAAACAAAAACGAAATAATCGTGCCGAATTGTAAAGAAACACACAAAACAAGCGCAAAACTATAACGAATATATTGAAGAGGAAAAAAAAAATAAGAATTATATAACAAAAAAAAACGAAAAAAAAGGAAAAATATAACAAAAAAAACGTGCATTTACAAACAAAAACACACGCGTAAAGGAGAAGGCTGAAGATTTTGCGAGAGGAGGAGAGATACGGAGAGGAAGACGAGAGACTTTAATAAGCTGATAACAAGAAAAAAAAAAAAAAGAAACGAAAAAGAATTGTACATGAAACGAGTTCACATGCGCATTATGAATGGTACACGACCGCACAAATTCAACAAATACACACGAACACTGGAGGATAAAGAGATATATATATACATGTATATCTTATACACGCGTCGGAATAATTAGTATATTATAGTATATATAGTATATATTTGTGCATTTCTTCATCGAACAGTAATTTAATTCGAGTGCACGCGAAATGAAATATGTCACGCGAATGAGTAAAGTTCGTTTCTCTGTTTAGCGTATCCTTACACGTGTTTGCCAGTGATTTGAAAACTCGAGGATAACGATGAATTATAAATGAGGATGATGATAATAATTAATGATGAAAAAAAAATATATATGTATATAAAAAATATAAACATACATACATACATATATATATATGTATATGTGTATGCAAATAATAATTTTCTTTAAAGGAGAAAGTAAGATCGAGGATGAAATTATATTGTATGTATTATTATATACATATATATATTATATATACATTAAGTATTCACTGGCATATACAATGAAGATAGTTAAAAAAAGAGAGGTTATGTTGAATGAAAGGAACCGCGAGGTACAAAGTACTACGCGACAACGATTATTTAACAAATTTTGAAAATATCAAATTTTTCCTTCGATTCGTACTCGATTAACAATTACGTGTAATTTTATTTATTTAGTAAATTGCTCGAGAAATGAAAAATGATCAATTACAAACGATGTTCACAAGTTCGGAAACGCGTGTTTCGATCTCCTCTCGGTTTCTTTTGTTTTGGTCGCAAGATTCGAATCGCAATCCCTCAGATATGATTGCAATAGACACACGATATACACACAATGTGTACCGCATTGTACGTGCGCGCGAACGTAACACGCACAAAAAATGTCGAGGCAATTTCTTCGCGGTCAGTTCACACGATATATTCCTTTCTCATCCCAACGTTGTTCAGGAAACTCGGTCTTCCATAGCGACAGAGTGTAGTACGCGTATTATTTTGTATCGTTCGATAGACGAAAAACACAGACTGATAGAGATTGCCCTCGTGTCTCGCGGCCAAATGCGGAGTAACTCTGGAAGAAAAGAGATTGGCGATTCGTTGTGATAGTACGTTCTCGATGTATAGTACTGACAAGTAACTGTAGAGGACACGTGACATGCGTACATGTACTCAGGCAAACATGTTTACATTTTTACATTTACACACACAGAGATACATACACGATGCAGGGTGTATGCGAAACGTGGGATTGAATTTCAGTAAGGTATTCTAGTCAGTGTAGATATACGATGTATATCTTGTATAAATGTGATGGGTCTACAAATTTTTCTTTATCGTAGAATAATTTCCAATATGTTATTTGCAGTACAAATGCAAACTAATTTAAAATGTTTTTATTTTTATTCTTGTTTTATTAAATATTTATTTATTTATTACATTCTTGCAATATAATTGTAAGATACGTAATTTTATAAATTTTGAATTAAATTTCAAAATTTTTCTTTATTTTTAAATTTTTCTTTATTGTTAAATATTTTCATATATTTATCATTATTGTATCAAAAGTTGTATTATTATTGTATCGTAAATTATTTTCAAGTATTATTCAATACTTGAAAATCAATTATAAAGTAATTTTAGAATTTTTAGAAATTACCATTAAATTTCGAAGGAATAAAAATATTTGTTAGAATTTTTAAAAACATAGATAGTTAAGGGAGGAAGACATTTTGGTGCAATCGAAGAAATATCAGACATCATTTCTATCGATACACTGAGCAGAATATTCTTGCTACATTCGGTTCCTACAAATACACCCTGTACACAAAGATACGTAACGATAAGGTAACGATATACGGTTCGTGAACGAATTCGAATGGCCTCCTGAACTGGAATGCCTCGTACAGAGGATGTGCACAGGTTGTACGCGTTTTTCCGGTTTCTAACGAGTCACGCACACGAACCGACAATTCTAGGGTTCCTCAACTCGCTGTTCACACTTGTACGTACACTATCGAGGGTGGCTGATTTTTTTCTAGATCCACATTGAAATCCTAGAACTGCGACTTTCTAAAAATTTAATAATCTAATTAATCTGTCAATGAAAAAAATTCAAATATTTTCTAAATATTTATCGATATAAATATTTAGCTTATTTTTATTATTATTATTTTTTTTTTTAATAACTTTTGCGATTGAAATAAATTTTTCAAAGGAGGACAATCATCGCGTAAAAGATACGCAATCCCAAGATTTCAGTGAGGTATCGATCGAAAAACAGCGGAAGTGCCTTCCCCTTGCACTCGTACACCGTTGCACACAAAACGATACACGTGTACTTGAGTATACAAGAGTAAACTCGAGATAAAAGAAAAACACATTGAAAGAAAGCATCTAATGTCTAATATATATATATATAATACTTACATAATAATTATATTTATATTAAAATACAAACATAAGCATACCTATCGATTAATGTTGCATCTAGATATCGTGCAACGAAGAAATCGTGCCGGCAACGTCGCAAGATGGCGGCCGGCCCAATATGGCGGCTGAACCATTTTACGACCTATGCTGACTTTATTATANTATAAACGTTCTACGGCGTAAACAGCGTAATATTACCGCGTATACAGGTAGTATTCATTCTCGTGTACCGTGTTCTGTCTCTGATTTTCTCAATTATACTCGTCCTCATGGGCACGTTCGATAAATAAAATCAAATATCGAGCGTGTACGTATATAATGTGCGACCATCGGTCGTGTACGTAATCGGACGACGTCGAAGATGACTGATTTAACGTGAATATATATATCGGCGAAAAAAATATTCGAGAAAAAGAAAATGATTGAAAAGAAAGAGAAACGATTCGACTATTGTGAAACAAGTTCGCGGTAATTTTCTTGTAACGCGTTTTATTGTAGACGCGGTTAGTGCACGCACACACGTATACACACATATACACACATGCATACATGTGACACGTACGTTGCACGATATCATCAGGTCCGATAAAGCGAAACGGTAATGATAATGATAGAAGGTAGAAATGAAAAAAAGAAATGAAAAAAAAAAAAAAAAAAAAAGAAAGAGAGAACGACACGTCGTCCAATTTTTTCAATGTCAAGGAAACGAATTAAAACAATTATCGATGGTTTAACGATATTATACGTACATACGATATAATACGATATAATTGAGTATATGATATAGCCTCGTGTAGTCTGCGTCGTCGACTCAGAGACAAAGAGCAGAGGGAAGTAATATATATATACTATGATCGAGAAAAAGGGAATAGAAAAAGTGTAGGAAGGAATGAGACAGTTATTATTAGGGAATATTTAGAAGAAGAAGAAAAAAAAAAGGGGAAAAAAAAAAAGAAAAGGAAAAGATATATATTACAATATATAACGAAATTTCGAGAGAACGAATGAAAAAATTGATAAACGATGATGCAAATGAGTCTTCGAGGTCCCGAATGCGTTTTTGCGCGTGCACGCTCACGGGGTTTGTCAAGGAGTCAGCCAGTATTTGTAATAATAATGCTTGAGAAATGCATGAATATTTGTTTTATTAATGCTTCTTCTTATTTCATCTCTTTCTA